ACTTAAAAAAAATTGAGCATGTTCACAATATGTATAATTTCGGACTGAACCTCTAAAAAGTCTGTGCAAACTTTAGTTTTTGAGAAAAAAAATCAAACAGGCGATTAAAATAGCGATTTTTTTTAAAAGTTCGTCGAAAAACTGATCTGTTTGATTTTTTTCTCAAAAACTAAAGTTTGCACAGACTTTCTAGAGGTTCAGTCCGAAATTATACGTATTGTGAGCATGCTTAATTTTTTTCAAGTCGATTTGAGCTTCTATATTTGAATTATCACTGCAAAACTTATTTCAAAATCCTTTTCGATCAGCCATTTGCAGCGCCATTTTTAATGCACATTCTCAACTAAAAAAATTTTTTTTTTATATTGTAGTTTATGATCTTAATAAATTAATAAAACATTTTGTTAAAGGACAATTCTCGATTTTAATTCATTTTTTTGTAATAAATTCCCCCAAAAAGACTTCATTTTCGACAAATACTATTGCCTAGTCCCCTTAATATATGAATCCATATGTAATGTGATCCAATTCCAAAACATACAAATTGGTTTAGCCGAAATGATGTCAGCAACGTTTCTCACTGTCTCGGAGGAATCTTAGGAGGATCTCGCGCGGATGAATTCTTGCGTACTGCGATTAATCCGGCACTCTCTTATTAGCGCCACCACGTGCACTCGTTTCATCCCGCTCCGTTGCTCGCAAGTCGCTTTTTGCCGCTTCGCCAGAAGCGCCGACGTACTTACGTGAAAGCCAACGGCCTGCGTTAAGTGCGATGGTAGCTGTTCTAAGGCTAAGGCCAAGGTTGTTTAAGGCATCTCTGTGGACAGAGATAGAATCTACATTTTTCTTTCATTCGTCTCACGTGTCGATTATACAATTAGAGGACCGCAACATCTTATGCTTTAATCCCTTTTTTTTTGCTTTGCGAATCACAAAAACACTCTGCTTTTGTAAAACAGTGAAGAATTAAAATAAATCTTATTTTTTTTAGATTTTTGAGAATTTCATTATTTACAAATTTATTACAATATTCTGATATTTTTATATTTATATTTATTATTATAATAAGATGTTTAGTAATTAAATAATTGATTTCTATATAACTAATTATGTAATTTCGCAAGTCTTACGAATAAAAATTATTTAGAAAGGATAAACTTCAAGCAACCAAGCTAATCGATGTTAATTGATATTAATGGGATAGAATGAAGCAGGAATTGATCCTTTCGACCCTTTAAATCACCTAATCGCAATGATTGCATTGTACGAAATCGCAATAAATTATCGTGTGGTAAGATTTATGTCGCTTAGAAAGTCAGCGGCGCACTTTTCGCAGAGAATCAGCTTTTTCGCCGACGTATAAATCACCCTTGTGAATATCTCGCTTTAGAAAGTGGTGGTAATCATTTGACTCTTTGACAGCGAATTTAAAAAAAACTTCGTTTTTACGCGAGAGCAAATCGTATTCACAGTGCATAATTTCTTTTTACGCGCGGGAAAAATCAGCATTTTTCAGTGTGATTAGAGATGAAAGTTTTTTGAAAATGGGATAAGAAATTAAATAAAAAACCGGTGTTTTTTGGTAATTTTGAAAAATAATGTCAGTTTTCTTCGAACAAAAGATGGTATGGGAATTAAATTAATTTTGTTTGGATCAATTTCAATGAATGTGGCTAAGCTGATTAATCAGTTCAGTTCGAATATTTTAAAACTGAAAAAAAACTTAACAAAGTTATGAAAAAAATCTAGAACGCCATAAAATGAATTTTTCCTTGTTTTTTTTAAATTTGTTCTTTTTTTTAAATAAAAATTTTTATTTTTTAACAAGATTATCGATGATGACCAAATTAAGTAATACTGAATTCTTACCGTGATTTAACAATCACATAAACATCATTAAACAAGTAGTAATTTATACCATTTAATATTTGTGCGTGCAAATAAAACGATAAAAATGCAGAATGATGGAATATTTTAATTTAAATGATTATGCAAACAAAACGTTTGCGTATTATCAAGATGCATTTTGAGTTAGTTAATATTCTATTTATTCAATACACACTTTGTAAAGCTTGTTCAATGGCTTGTAACATATCTCGTTGATAAATGGCGTTTCGTATTTCCTTCATAATAGTCGATATTCTGGGTGAAATTTATCTGGTTCTTTAACTCATAAATCTGTTTGTTCCGCGTTATAATCACTATATTGAACATAAATATATCGACTTCGCGCCATAAGTAATACTTCAAAAATAAATCTCTTAACTATTCGAGCATAACATTTTCTTCGGCTTTGATATAATCAGGTTCTTAAGACAATAAATATAAGAATACATTTAAAAATGTTATATAAAAATGTCAAATATTATTTGGCATTTTTCCATTATTCTTTATTTATCTTAATCGTTAATATAATATTGATAAGCGTTAATATAATTTATGTTTATAAATCTTTTTATATTTAATAATAATTATTTAGAATTTAATTAATATA